ATCAAGAGGAAAACAACTTTTACTTGCCTAAGAATCTTCTTGTCGATGCATTATCAGACAATTAAAATTCATACATTAGAGCCTTGATTTAGAACCTAAGGCAACATAGAGTTGACACAAAGTAATCTATCTACAGATTACTAGTCGTCTAGATGTGTGCCACCCGTTTCGTACCATTTCAGGCTGTTCGTCAAATACTGATCAAGAGGAAAACAACTTTTACTTGCCTAAGAATCTTCTTGTCGATGCATTATCAGACAATTAAAATTCACACATTAGAGCTTGATTTAGAACCAAAGGCAACATAGAGTTGACATATAGTCTTGGTGTTTTGCATGTTAGTCAACGCCTTATTCTGACAGTAGGATTGCATCCCCATAAACCCACCACTCATTACTTAGCCTGCAGTCAACATTTCATCATCCGAAAAAGGTTATTCTTTTCCTTTTCTATTTGCTTGTGAACAAAGCAAAGTCAAAAGTATTTCTCAGTCATTTATCTCTCGAGGAATAAGCTTATAGCGTCATAATTCTCATAGTCACATGCTCATAGTCAGGCATCAGTTCCAGTGAATTCTTGATGCAGTGATGAGGCGATTCAACTTGCTAATAGAACATGAACAAGATGCAGCAGATGATGTCCAAAGCATAAGAGATGGATTTACTTTGGGTGAAGTGTCGACCAACCTCTTCTTGCATGTGCAGGAGTTTTGCCTTCTTCTGCTGGAATTCCGACCGATGAACCTTGGGAACCCCGCTACTAGAGCCGGCGCCGCGTTCACCGCCGGCCTCCACTGAGCTATACAACGTAGACGTCGATGCACCGGAGTTGCCTACCCTCGAGCTGCTCTCCTTCTCCCCGACCGCACCACTTCTGGAAGCTCCGCGGCTCGTCTCCTCGGCGAAGCACCGCTTCAGGAGCTTCGAGCCCGCGACCGCACAGCAGAACTCGTCCAGCAGCTGCTGCGTCGGCCTCAAGAACCTGGAGTTCTTGAGGAAGGCGGCGTAGCCGGCGAACGGATGGCGGGCAGCGGCGCCACCAGGCGAGGTCACGACGTCTTGTAGTGATCCGCCACTGTCGTAGACCCTGTCGCTGATCAGGAACTTGGGGTACGGGCAGGACGGCCCGGCCTCCAGCTGCGCCGCGCCCAGCTCCGGCACTGGGCTCGACGCGAGGGTCAAGGACAGGCTTCTCGCCACCCTCAGATCGCTTCCTCCGACGGCGGATGCGTCTTCGTACTTGGCGCTCATGAGATCTCCGCTCCACTGCGGAGGCGGCTGCCTGGCCATCAGCATGGCGTTGGCCGGATCCGCGGCATAGCCCGGCAAGAACAGCAGCTCGTTCCCGCCGCTATCGATGGCCCACGGACACGGCTGCTGTGCGACCGCCGAGACGAAGTCTCGCCCTTGGCTCGGAAGCGGCGATGGCAGCGAGACATAGTGCAAGTCCATCGATCCGTCGTGATACCCGACGAAGCCGGGCTTCGGCTGTTGGTGGCAAGAATGATTGTCCGGAAACAAGGAAGGATGCACGGCCCAGTCGCAACCTGGCTGACCACGGAGGGCAGCGGCGGTCTCGCCTAAGATCGCCGACGACGAAGGAACGATGAGGGGGACTTGGCTGCCTGCCGCAAAGTCCGCGGGGGCGGCGCCAGCGGCCGAACTGGAGAACATGGGCGGATCACACGCGTCGCGGAGCTGCAGGAGGTGGGACGGGATCCGGAGCTTGTCCCGGCGGCTCTGCTGGGCGACGTGGGCCTCCTGGCGAAGGCCGTTCATGGCGCGCCCGCAGCTGACATGAGTTGGCGGTGGAACCACAGTGGAAAGAGACAGGGAGAGCGGGCAGGAGGAGAGAAGGGCCCGGGGAGGGTGGCAAGGGGAAGGTTGGCTTTTAGAGGCCAATAATTTGCGGGCTTTGGAAGCCGAGACGCAGGCCAGCAGCCATGTCCATGCCTCTGCTACGAATCCAAGGCAAGTACAAAGCGAGATCACAGGATGGCAAGGATTGGAAAGAGAAAGAGAGAGACATATGGGTATAAGAAAGAAACAAAGAGAAGGAGGCGGTGGGTTTGAGGATTCCAAGCAAGCAGACACACCACTTCGATTCACCGAAGCGGCAAAGGCCAGCGAGGAAGCGTGACAACTGCGCCTTGCTGAAACCTACTTCACGACATCATCAAAACACCCACCCGAGAAGACATCAGCAGCAGCGGCTACACATGCGTGAATAAAGCATGACACAAAGAAGAGCAGCTGTTTCCTCTCTTCTTCCCATCACCACTTCATTAGCGAAAAGGCTTACGCTTAGTGGTGGCAGCGCTTCTGCTACTGTAGCCGAATGCCACTGAAGGGGTAACATACACGGAGAAGAGAGGGAAAGGAGACGGACGCAATACGCCGCCTGCCTGTGGGGTGCGAGGAGGTGGAAGTATTCCCGCCCAGCGGAGTTGCACACCGTCAGGAAACGGCGATCGGAAGCATCGACAGCGGGATTTGCGACGGAGACGGCTCCCGGCTTCCCTTCTCCGCTTGCGCTCGCCTCTAAGTGCAAGTCCCGATGCCTCGCTGACTCTCGCCGTCGGGACTAACGCCGTCACTGCGCCTGATGGAAGCCAGATGACTGCAACACGGAAGGGAACGTCACCCCGTTACGGTACCCGTCACGTTACCTTCTTCGTGATTGGATCGTACATGAGTCGGGTCCGCAGTCAATAGACACGGACAACACAGTGACAAAAAGCGCGTCATTTTCTCGGTCGCTTTCCTCCGCCCGAAAAGCGCGGCTGCCAAGGACCGCAAATGGACGACCCACGCTTCCACGCCAATAGTGCATGATGAAGTGGCAAACAATAATTGGGTCTTGAGAAGTGGGTCCCAAACAAACAGTGCCCAGAGGAGAAACCTGATGACGTCATCAGTGGTGGGCCACAGAATTCCCGGGAAATGAGGGGGGCTACCGCCTGACCGAGAGATCTTTTGCTTCCCGAGCGGGTCTGCCTCTCTCTTCTCCGTCTCTCTCTCTCTCTTTCTTGACCGACCACCCCCCCGTACACATGTTCTCTCAATGCTTTCGCCATGAAATGCCCGTTCTCTTGGACTTCGTACCCTGCATGCCTTCCACAGGTTTCGCCCGCTCCCTACTATCTGTTTCGGTGGGGTCTAGCGCAGGTCGAGGACGACGAATAGGCCTACTACAGATTTGTAACAGGTCGATCCGCACTGCACCAAGCTGGGCGATGTGAAATCCCGTCGTCTCTCGACGGAAGAAAGAAACGCTGACAGCCAGACGATGAAGGTGACAGATCGAGGAATATGCATGAAGTGACGTTGATCCAAAGGATAATGAGCCAGTTTAAATAAATATTTTTGATCGAATTCTTGGATCGATCGGATAAACACAGATCTCAGGCGATGAAGTGGGTTCTCCGGTGGCCCACCTGCTGCAGGGCCGTACCGTCCTTCCAGAGACTAACACTGCGTCTCCGTCGCTGAGCGATGGCTTCTTCCCGTGCTCAAACCAAAGCAAAGGTTCTACTCCTCTGTCTGTATAACTTGGCTGGGAATCTTGAAAGTGGAGGGAGGGCAGACACGTGAAGAAGCCACCGGGAGCGAAGACTGTTCTCTCTCAAAAGACCTCCGGGCTTCCGCTCGGCATCCCATGCACATTGTACTACTCTCTCTTCTTCCCATGTCCTTTTCAGGTTTTTTTACTGTGAGAAAGCAACAAGCGAAAGAAATGAAATGATATGAAACCTATATTCCTCTTAGTTATTCTACTGTTGGTGTCCATCGTAAACATATCTGTAAAGGCTTGTTATTCATGAGCTCAGCTCACAGATTCAGCGTAAGATGATGAACAAGGCCTTACTACATTGTCGTTGACCACAGTAGATCTTCCTTCATTGTCAATTGTCTGATGCCTTTGTCTCAGCTAATTGATTTGATAGCCTTCAAAGTATGGCGTACAGAGGTGAGTGTAAGTTACGAGTGTGAGATAAGGCACGAAGAATAATGGAATCGAGTTCGTGGACTTGTTGACCACGATCGAAGTGTTTTGCACGGATCTCAAAGACGCCAATCAAAGGGCATGATACGATGCAGATCGCGGCGTACATCAGCGGTGAGTTGGAGTATGATCCCAACCAACATCAAATTTCGTGCCGACATCCCCAAGCGACGAAACTTCCTCTCGGGCCGAGACATCCATCGTGTTCCGGTTATGCTCACCGCGGAGCAATGGACACCGATAAGTCGGTCGGAACGCTAACTCGCTCCGCCCACACCGTCGATTCCAGGTACAGCTTGGAGACCTTGCCGGCGACCCACGTCATGTCCGGCCGGGCCGCCGCCTCCGCATCCACGCACCGTAGCGCCACCGTAATCAGCTTGTCCGCCGCCTCCACCGGGAACGAGTCCCGCAACCTCCGGTCCACCCACTGCCTCACCCTCCCCCGCCGCTCCTCCTCTTCTTCCTTCCCGTCCCCCTCACCTCCCACCGCCTCCCGCGCCGTGTCGACGAGGGAGACCACCTCGAAGACCTTCCGCTCCTTGTCGTGCAGGTACTTGAGCGGCTCCTCGCCGGAGACGAGCTCCAGGAGCAGCACCCCTAAGGCGAACACGTCGGAACTGCGCGAGACGGCCCCGTCGGCGAGCAGCTCCGGCGCCATGTACCCCCGCGTCCCCTCGATCTGTATCTGCCGCTCGCCCGACCCCTTCCTCGTCGGTGGCGAGGAGATCGAGGTGATATCCGCCTCATCGGCGGAGGGATCAGGGAGCTCCCCCGCGAGATCGGCGGCGCCGAAGTGGCAGATCTTGGCGCGGAGGTCGGGCTGTGTGACGATGATGGCGGAGCTCTTGACCCGGTTGTGGACGCCAGCGACAGCGGAGGAGTGGCAGTGGATGTATTCGAGGCCCTGGGCGACGTCGGCGGCTACCTGTACGCGGCTGACCCAAGAGGCGAGCGGGGTGAAGCCGGAATTCCGCGGGTTTCGGAGGCAGTTAGCGAGGCTGGCGCCGGGGACGAACTCGTAGACGAGGTAAACGTTGTCGCCGGAGGTAGACGCGCCGAGGAGGCGGGCGAGGCTGCCATGGTGGGACCTGCCGAGGTCGGCGAGGCGGGAGGGGAGGTCGCGGGAGCGGCGGCGGAGGGGGCGCTGGATGACGACGGCGTCGCGGCCGCGAAGGGTGCATCGCCAGGCGGAGGACGAGGCTCCGGGGAGGCGCTTGGCGAGGAAGTTTTTGGTGACGGCGCAGAGCTCTGGAAAGGGGTAGATGGCGGGGGCCTCATGGAGGGCGCCGCGAAGGGAGACGAGGCTGAGGGCGGAGGATGAAGCGGAGGCGGAGGCGTCGGAAGAGGAGGAGGGTTTAGTCGCCGATGAGTTCCCGGAGGAGGTGGAGGTTGGGGGAAGGCGGCGGCGGCGGTTGTTTGAGCCGTTGCTGACGCCGCCGGAGGGGGAAGCGGCGGAGGACGACTTGAAATTGGACCTGTGTCTGGGTGGGACAGCCAAGACGGCGGCTTTGGACTTGCACATTGAGCAAAGGCATAGGATCGGGGAGCTCCCAAGCGGTGGCGGCGAGAAGGGAAGAGAATGAGAATGATAGGAGTGCAGGGGTGCCGCGTCGAACACGTTTCGTGACGCTCCACTCCCTTGTTTTTTTTCTCCGCGTGGCTTCCCACGTGGTTCTGAAGACAGTGGAACACGTCAGATTCTACCAAATTAAAACCATACAATTCGTAACTTGCGTTATGGATCCTGTTCCACTCTTACATCAGAGAAAAGGATGGCAAAGATCAAGTGGTTGCACGAATCATGAAGGACGGAAGCCCATGTTCGGGTCGGGTTCAAAATTCATTTTCGGGTCAAATCCAAATCTAATTTGGCAAGATTAAGGGTTTAACTATACTAGTCATTTGCAAGGTGCAATTTAGCGAGCATGGGAGAAGAAGACGACATCACACCACCGAGCGAGTACAGCATCGAGCCCACTCGTGTTAGGATCACAGACTCGTCACCGCCACCGACGGAGGCGATCCACTTCCATTTCCTGAGCACCTTCTGCAGCTCTCGGTGCGCAGAACGACTAGGCAACTAGAACAAGGGTGTGGCACTCCTTCGGAGTTCAATTTCGAAAGTATGGACGTAGTGTTTTTTGTTTTTCCATAAAGCACAAATTGTGAATAAAACCAAACTACTATTGTGTGATCTTTCACCGATTTAGTTCCAAACAGGAGAATCGAATTCAAACAGAGTAATTCTTTACTAATCATCATCTCGTTCATGTTTAGATCGCAAATGCAACATAGGTGATAGTACAGATAAGACGACAAATAACATAGTGTGCTTGTAACAAAAGGTAATCGACCATAGTGTGGAGTACTTGTGCTACCAACATAGTAGAGGCTTCTTCTGCCTAGGAGCCATATAATAATAGCATTCGAAAGGGTAGATCAAAGTGATACGTAACTGTAAAAATCAACTAAGATGATTAGCGTAGTCATGGAATAAAAATGCTAACCTTTAGCTGCTCTCCTTTCACATATCAATCAGAGAACTCAGACTTGCTCCTCAGATGCTCCTTGAAGTCCATAATGTCACCCTCCCACCTTGTGGCCGCTTGATTCTCGCAGACCCATATCTCCTGGGCCACCTGGTTGATCAATCTGAAGTCATGGCTCACCAAAACCAGACCCCCATCCCACTCGTTCAGTGCTTCCGCCAGGGAATCGATCGTCTCGATATCCAGATGATTCGTGGGCTCATCAAGCAGCAGCAGATGCGGTTGCCTCCAGGCCAGCCAAGCAAAGATCACCCTGCTCCTCTGACCATCTGACAAGTTATTCATCGGCATCACCTGTGCCTTTCCTGACAACCCAAACTTCCCGATCGCAGCCCTCATCTTCTCTTCCTCGTTTCCTGGGTACTCCTTCATCATATACTGGAGCGCCGGCATCTCTAGATCAAGCTTCTCGGCCAGATGCTGATGGAACTGGGCAATCCTGAGATGATTGTGCCGCCTAACCATTCCATCCAAAGGAGCAAGATCACCAGTCATCAGCTTGAGTAATGTGCTCTTCCCAGCACCATTAGGCCCTACCAAGGCTATTCTGGAGTCGAGGTCCACACCAAAATCAAGGTTCTTATAAATGAGGGTATCTGGAGTGTAGCCAAAAGTGACTCCCACAAACTGCAGGACTGGTGGGGGAAGTTTACCAACATCTGTGAAGCGGAATACCAGTACTTTGTCCTTCACCACCTTTTCTGTTAGTCCACCACGCTCCATCTTGGCAAGAGTTTTTTCCTTACTCTGGGCTTGCCGAGCCAGCTTAGCAGAACCATGACCAAACCGAGCAATGTACTCCTTCATCGAAGCAATTTGCTCCTGCTCCCACTTGTACTGCTTCATTTGATTTTCTTCCAGCTCAGACCGAGTCTGGACATACTGGTCATAATTGCCAGTGTAGAATTTTAGCTTCTTGTTCTGCATGTGTATGATGTTGGTACAGACGCCATTAAGAAAATCCTGAGAGTGTGATACCACGACTAGGATACGATCAAACTTTTTCAGAGTCTCTTCTAGCCAGACACATGCTTCCAAGTCTGCATAAGGAAAAACAAGACCAAGCAAACCTTAGCTTCATTTGAATCATGAAAGCAACTCAGACAGCATACGCAAGATGCCACTTGTATTTGTTCCCAAGGACCCATGCTAAAATGAGTTTGCAAAAGGTGTCCAACATGAATTTTTCAAATGAAGGTGTCCAACATGTATATCAAACTTGGCATGGCCCATTAAACTTGTCAAAAGGTGTCCAACATGAATTTTTCTACCAATTTTAAAGTAATAAAACAAAATGTAAAGGCAGAATCGAATGGAATAATGATTAATCTCATCATATTACCAAGTATGGATACAGAACACCGAAAACCATTAATTTGCTGATTAAGAGACAAAGAACTTGATACTTTACCAAGATGATTGGTGGGTTCATCAAGCAAAAGGATAGTTGGATTCATGAACAATGCTCTAGCCAATGCAATCCTCATTCGCCACCCACCAGAGAAGTCCCGGGTTTTCTTTGCTTGCATTTGTTTATTAAAACCAAGCCCATACAAAATCTCAGCAGCCCGCTTCTCAGCGGTTGATGCATCCAGTGCTTCCAATCGCTCGTAGATACGATCCAACGCTTCACCACCACCTCCATCCTATAATAAGACAAAGTCAAAACTTGTCCAAAAAATATCTGATCAATGACAAATATAATAAATTGTGCCCACAGACAAACCTCGCCAGCTAACATTTCAACTTCTTTCTCCAACTTCAATCTTTCTTCATCACAGCTGATCACAGCCTCCAAAGAAGACATGTCTGAAGCTTCAATCTCCCTCGTAAGGTGATATATATCCATGTGGTCCGGAATAGGGAGCTCTCTGCATCCTATTGCTGACAGGAGAGTTGACTTCCCACAGCCATTTAGTCCTAACAAACCATAGCGCCTACATGTAGAACAGATTAGCATGACCAATAAATCAGGGGGTCAAATCTAATTCCAGCATCATAAAGTAGATCAATATACAATACCTGCCATAGTTGAGCTCTAACTCAGAATCCACTATGAGGTCATGCCCATGAAAGGTTAATGATAAGGACTCGATCTGGAAAGTGAACAATTTGCAACCATATCAGAAAGAGAATAATTCAAAGAATATGAAACGGAAACCAAATACATAATGAATAAAAATATTCAAAGCAGCAAATATGTTAATCAGTCTATAACGGGTTCCAAATATTTGCACTCGTTGTCTGTATATCTAGTACATTAAACATATTTGTTTGTGAGACATAATTGTGTCTTAAATAACTTGAATTGGCTGGTATTTTCATAATTCCATATCGATGTCCGAACTCAAGTATCCAATAATTATTTAAGGCTTTTCAGCAACATGTGGATACTTACATGTTTTCATGAAACAAAATATTGAAAGATTACCAGATAGGTACACAACCAAGACAAATTTCCTAAGATGAGCATTGAGAAACTATGACATGGGGAGAGAAGTTGGTGACTAAAATGTACAGGAAGTAATGAGCAAAAAAAGAAAGAGAAGTATTGCAATTAAATGGTTGCAGATACAATTTGACCATTTCAAGTTCAGAAATTGTAAATCACCAGCTTAGTTTAAATGAACCCAGGGAAGCATCTAAATAGTTGTAAATATGTCAGTTGATTGGTTATCAGTGTCCAAGAACAATTACAAAATGGAACACCTCGTCAAAACCAAGCGTTGCCATCAAGGAGGGCAATGGACCATCTAAAGAGCATTGTTCCTGTTCCTATTGCTTTTGATAGTGACAAATTTTTTTTATGCTTAAGTGGATACTCCTGTCAACTAGATAGAAACATGACAATCATAAACAACAAAGAATTTATCAAACTTCAAGATCCTGGAGTCCAAAAATCTAGTTTATAGTTCGAAGATCCTGGTGTTAAAAAATCGAAAAACAACTTACAAAATCTTTAGTTTAAAACTCCAAGATGCTGGTGTTGAATGATAAAAAAACAACTTATAAACTCATTATTTTTATGCTTCAAGATCCTGGTGTTCAATAATCAGGATAAAGCTTAGTTAACTATTGCTCTCTTGTTGTATAATTAATAATTTATCTTTCTTCCTCAAAATTGTTTTGACACAAACAATATATTGGTTATATATATCTCACTACACTTCATTTCCATCATTTTTCATTAAGGCCACCCTTAAGAACTTCAAGAAATTGATACAAGGTCTAACACTAAAGGTCTTTCATAATCGAATAGGTCAATAGTAGGAGAATACAGAATGAAATTCACAATAATTTTTGGATTCTTATAAGAACTTTAGGCTCACTCTAACAGCAATTTCCGATCCTGAGTTTGTTCTTTGTCTCTTTCACTAAAATATGTCAGAAAGCCAGAGTGTCTAAGCCATGAAGGGCTACAGTGTGTCCCTCAGCAAGATTCAGATACGCTCTTTTCAGTCAGACCTTCCAAAAACTTTGCCAACACAAACATTACTGACTATCTATATAGAAAAAGGATTCTCCAACCTAAGAAACAATAGTGAACATCAAAAGAATCCTTCAAAGAAGCATTGCGTTCTGATCAAAATCCAAGCAGCGAACGACATAAAACTATCTAAATACATCCGTTTCCCATGGAGATCATCCGTACGAAAAATCACAGAAACCTGCCTAACTGACATCCAAGAAAATTTAATTTTCATTTTTGGATTCTCGAACATGAGCCTATCTTGAGTTAATAATCCATGATTTATTATCCTTCAGACTCATAGATCATAGTACTAAAATCGCAATTTCAATCTTCAAAATCGGGCCTTACGGCGGATCGCGTATTAGCTTATCGAACACATGCTCTTAAGAACCAAAAGGAGAAAGAGCAGAGAGATCACATGAATATCCCTGGACTGGGGATGCGAGGCGAGGACGCCAGTGCACGTCCGATCCGAGATCTGGAGCGATCCGACTCCATCGGCGACCTTGTCCACCGCAGACCCGTTCGGCACCTTAGACGCTGCCGCCGCCTTGGACGACGCGGCGGCGCACTTCCCTCCCCTCTTCGCTGCCGCCGCGGCTTTCTTGGCGGCCGCCTTCTTCTTGCTCGCGTCCGACACCATCGTCCTGCTGGAATCCCAAGACAGACCTGAGTCCACCAAACTGAACCGAAGGGAGGTGCTACCCACCAAAAACTTCAGAAGAATCGATCTCAAACTTACAGGAAGCCGAGAAAATCCGATCGAATTCGAAAAGATAAATGGATCGGGGGGGCGGCGTGGAGGATCCAAAATTTAGGGTTCGGGACGTACAGATACAAAACACAAAACCTAGACGTTTACCCTTTCTCCTGCAACGGAAGAAAAGTATACAGACCCCGATGAAAGGGTCAGAGAGGGATGAAAGAGAGGGCGAGACGGGACTTTATAGGCAATGCGATCTCGACTATGAGATCGCATTCGGGTTACAATGCGGTTGCGAATCCACCGTCCACGTTTCGATTTCCAACATCCTTGGTTAATTCATTTCCGCATAAATTAAGACATTTCTGAAAATTTTCATTGGAATCTATAGGCTAATTATATATTAGCCGTATGTAGTTAAGATTTCTTGACTATCTCGATCATTAGATTTAAAAATTTATCCATAATATTTATCTCCATTTATCCGTAACGATGATCTTCCATGCATTATTGTCGGCGTCAATACAAATATAAAATGACATCGTTTTGTATTTACATCTACATCAGTGTTAATACAGATGTCGAGCAATTCTTTCGTCGCTTTGCATGTGTATCAGCGTCGATGCACAGAGTATCGATATTTACGTCATCCTCTTCCTCCTCTCCCTCATCATTTACAATTGTCATCATGACCCTTAGCGGTGTTATCGTTCGTCATCATCTAAAATGTAACTAGAATATTAAAATTATCTTTTTACCCATTATTTTCGTATCATTTTATTTTTATAACTATAAAAATTCTACCGTGCATGTTTTTTATTTCGCACAGCGGTTGAGATTAAAGCGCCAGTCTATCTGGGCTGGAGGCTTTGTTAAGTCCACGTGGATGCTGTTTACCGGGTGGTATAACGCAACCGTGTCGGGTCGTCGATTTTGTTTGTATATATATTTAACACACCCAAATGCAACACGAAACGCACAAATATGGATCAGCTTTCTGTTCTGTTTCTTTTAGCCAAATCTACTTTACTCCGTGGCCAAAGTTGGCGTGAGACTGAAGGCTTAGTAGGGACGGTTCACACCTGTCAAAAGTAGGAAGAGATGAGTCAAAGGATGTCTCTTTCATGGTAAGATGCTACAAAATGCATCACATCATTTGAGTCATACGTAAATGACTTCGTAGACAAGTTACTTCAATACAAGGTTGATATTAGATAGGAAACTGTAATAATACATCCAATGCGTAAAACGCATTCAGTATTTGAGGACAGTCTTCTGAGCTCTTGACAGGAATATACACGTACTGCTATAAGGAGGACAACCATAGATCTTGTTCTTAGGAAGACGATAGCATGGATTATCTTCGACTTTGTGTACTACCGCAGGTATTTGAAAAATAAGTTCAAGTACATACAGAGAGCTTACCTGCTCGGATACAAAGCCAAGGATTTGATGCAGTTCTTTGACTCGTTAATATAAGGGTCTCATCGATCGCGCTGTTCCGTAGGTTTTTGACAAACAAATGGCTTTCTGCAGCGTGAAATCAAAGAGGGTAGTTCGAGTCTGATTCCACAAGTCACTCGAGTTTATCTCAATTTTTTGTTTCTTAACCTTCTCCAAGAAAAACGTGGACGTACAGTATTGATCTTGAAAAGTTTCTTAGGATGTCAATAAATTATAAACAGGAAAGCCTGATGCCTTACTCAGCAGTTTAATTGGTACTTTACCGAAGAAACTGCTGCTTCAGAAGTGCAAAGAGTGGTTGGGCAGGAACAGAGAGCTTTGAGAATGGCTCCTCCACTCCAACTACAATACAAGGATCAGCTTCGCCTTCCGTCTACCAGCCAAACCTGAATAATTGAATGCATCAGCCACAGTTGACTTCGGAGAAAGCTCCTTCTGGGAAGCTGTTACACAATCTCCCGGCAGCCAATTCAATTCTTGTATTGTCCTGAAGCAAATGTGAAGGTCGGGTATTAACATTGTCATGATCAGATGTCGATCGGTTGGTAAGGCAAATGTATTTAGAGCAATACTGAAGCCATCACTTTTTATCTAGTAATCATGCTTAGATTAGGTACCTTCCCAACAAAACTTATGAGAGACTGGACCCTGGATTTCCGTTGGCATCCTACATTGTGCAACAACAATCAGTAGGAGAAGAATCGTATTCAAGATTTGAAAGCTGCTTAAGCCATCCAGATGTTAAGACACTGCTAATCAGTAGTTAGTTCTCTTTTAAAATTCTTAACATTGATGTATATGTAGGTGCTGATAGTCTCACCTATATAAACATCTGGGAATTCAAGGCATAACTTTGATATTGTTTGAGCAATTTCAACCTGCAAACAACAAGACAAGAAACAAGGATATTAATAGCTTGTCCGTTTTCAAGATTAAAAAGTAATGAAAAAAATCCAGTATACATTTAGAGAACACTCACCAGGTCAGGTTCTACAGAAATTCTATTAACAAAAATTGTTGATGAAGTAATTTGCCAAGTTTGAAAATAAGAATCCACACAATTGATGAACCCAAAAATAACTTTACTAATATAGAAATCATCTACTGTATTTCCAGTAATGGATGTCAATGCCATCCATGTGCTGGTTGGGAAAAGTACCTGGATTGGTCAACACAGAATGTGTCGACACATTACTGGCACACCCCAGTACCAGTACATCATGCTGGACTGACACGTAGAGGGGCTTTAAGCGAGAGTAAATCATAGATTACACATGTTACATGATGGAACAGAGATAATTCACTTCCTAACTCAAGATGGTATGCCTCATAAACCTCATTTGTTTTCGAGCCAGCTTTGGCACGCAATGAGAACTTTACGATATATAGATGCATGTATACATGTACATTTGCAATTATACAAATTTATTAACGAAAAAAAGGATATTAAGTTTAGGAGTTCACAATCCTTTGAAACATTCTGATCTGATTAATAAGAAGCTTAAGTTGCAACGTATAGCAGTGATGATACTCTATTGCATGTGTAGCAAAAATAAGAACTTACTTTTGTTTTAAGCAGTGCATTTATCAAATTACTAAAGCTGAGATATGATACATACATCAGAAAGCATGCTACTAAGATGCTTTGACACGAATGGCGCCAACTGCACTAATGGGGTATTAGGTAATTCAAGAAGACAATCCCATTGAGTTTCCAGTTCACAAACATTTGTTGCAGCAAGAATAATCACATTTTGACATTTGATCTGCAATAGAAGAAAATGAACACATGCTCAGGCAAAGAAAACTGCTTAACAAGCAGAAGATAACTTTAAAATAGTTAGATGCAAACACAAATATTCATACTGCTATGCCAAATAAAAAAAAGATATATGCATTTGAACAGTAGTACACATACAAGTTACTTATGGCACAGTGGGAATAAAGGAACTATCATCAATGATGTGCTACAACAAATTATGCTAGAAAACTTACAACCAATAAGCAATCAGATGAAGCCTGATAGAGTAGCATAGAGTAGAACAAATAGCAGTTTTACAAACAACATCATAGCTAATGTAGAGTTGAAGAGCACTTTCTACAGCAACACAATAGAATGCAGCAAACTTATACCAAAATAACATTGAATAACACAATTAAATTGTAGAAACATATCTTGATTGGAAGAAGAAAAGGGCTAGCTCAGCTTGGTGGCTTTAATGCTGGTTAATCAAGAGATTCACATGTATAACGAGAGATTTTCTTTCCCTTAATACTAAGGCATACCTGGATATATTACTGGACCTTCCAATTTACAGGTTACAAGCAATTCCTTTGTCAAGACTTGAAGAGGATTCCACTGGGCTCTGACCCAATCGTATACTGAAATTTCATTCATAAACTGTCACGACCCGAGTCTGATGAGCTAACTGGCCAATAACTCCATTCTGGTCCTTCAACCACGGACCAAAATGCTTAAGCGGGAGTTAACGTAGTACACTTATCAGGCCCTTATAAGCTAATCATACACATTGCCCACTTCCGATGTGGGACTAATGGGATGTTACATAAAGTTTGCAGGAGGATGGAATTTATCATCAGTGCGATAGTTTCTGTGATAATCTGCATATAAGTAAATTGTCTTCGCTTCATACTGGTAATCAATAGACCTAACAACCTTGTTCTTCTCTAGGAATGCTCACATCTAACTGTCATACTTGTTAAAAGGTATAGAAATGTAAAAGAACAAGAGACGAGGAAATTGGAAGAAGAAATTCATGAAGAAGAGCCTGTTGAAGGGTACAAAAATAAGAAAAAGAAAGTAAGGACAAGAAGGAAAAAGGAAGTTTATAAAATATATTACCAGTAAACATTTATGGGAATAGAAAGTACATTGTTTCTCTTGTGCAATGTGCATCTTGATGATTTCTAATGATCCACCAAACAATCATAAAATATCTAGTAAATACTGGAATAGCCCTCAAATTATGTGCAGTTTCATCAAATCTCTGCATATTGTATTCCATATGATGGGGTACCGAATGGCCCATAAGGAGAATTAATTGGAAAAGAAATTCAGAGTTCCAACCGTGGAATTCAAACAATATTAAGGAAAAGAGATCATTTTTGTCACCTTCACCTGCTGGTTTGCATTAGAAAGAGCTTATAATATTTTTAAGCAAAAAATTCTCATTCTTTTGTTTATTTTGGTATTTGTCTTTTGTAACCTATTCAGGATGAACAATGTTATAGGATATTTTCTCGGAGGACTCTAGACAGCTCCAAGCACACCATAATCAACTTGTACACCTTGTAATTCAGTTTCTCCTCCCCTTCTAATCACTTTCAGTTTCTACATTCTCATTTTCTCCTTTCAAACATCACCTCATGCAGAGGGCTTCATACTTGTTTATATCCATTCTTTAATGGTAAAAAAAGGGTGAGGTCTTACTTATCCCTCTTTGCAAAGACAATACCGATTAAAATGTCAAGATAGATGTATATTTGTAAACAGGTGTGAAGCTCATTTTCCATGTCAGTAAATGCAAGCTAGATTTCTGGAATTAATGTCAAACATAAATGTACGAGATAATTATCAACCAGCATAATTTATATGAAGATAGACGTACCAATGGCAGAGGCAGCTTTTCATGTTGCAGCAACTCAGTTATGCCTTCAGGCAATAGAGCCATCTGGAAAAGGATGATAAAGTAAAGTTGACTGTTTTTTGGCAACAAATACTAATTAGTTAAACATCTAACATTATTTATCCAAACACTGACTGGAAGATCCATAAATGGAAAGATAAATTTACAAGCACCAAGTCAAGTACATGTGAGTAAAACTAGATCAACCATTGGAACTACAACACATTAAGCATGAAGAATGACAGGAAACCTGAGTATGGCATTAGTGGTAGAAATCCTTCTCTAAAGATTACGAACAAATCACTAGCAGAAGAATTGTTATCTTGTCATGCAAACACTCTAATCGCTATTCAAAAAAAATAATTTTTCCCTTGTATTTACTATTTACATTTCAACAGTGCAAATTGTGCAGTCAAGAATTACTAGTCAAATAAATGACTTAAGATTTAATTTAAGAGAATTTGATAGACAATTTTTTTCTTAGATGTACTTGAAGAGCAACAGAAAGCATATTTACTGACAATAACATCCATGCAAAATGTAAGAAATTAGGATTGTTCTCCATGTTTTACCATCATGAATGTAATAGGTGGTCATGAAATCATGTTGATAGTCAAATCAAAATGTGAGGGAAAACTTACAGGGAACTCTTACACATACAATAAAGGTGCACAGACACCATTAATTTTGCTTTCAGTTTGTGGTAAATGAAGTATCATGCCTTACACATCCTTTCCAAGTAGTGATTATAAACTAATACATTCTTTTCCCCAGTACACTCCTGTTGCAATTTCCAGCAAAATTAGGCACCATGTACGAGGTACTGCTAGGTAAAACAAGATCGAGTATTAACAATTCTAAGACAATTAACATAAAACAATACACTGTTTCTATGAGTCAACATATGACCAATGTAAGTTTGACATTGGCAGAAGAAGCTTTCCTTTAAATTGAAAAAAATAACATAACTTAAACCCTCATCTGAGACATCAAAATCTTCCAAGGCACCATGTGCCAATTGATAGCTCAACCAAAATAAGTCTCTCAGTAAGAACAATGTCTAAATAAGTCCAGCATACTAGACTTGAGCAAACACCTCTACCAAATAACATGCAATAAAATTTTGTTAATGTAAAATTGTAAATAACCTCACATAAATATATTTAAATGTAATAACTAATAGCAGAAGTTATGAGACAAAAAAAAAGGCCAGATGCTCAAGTATTTATGCATCACCTCGTTTCGGTCACCAGTGCAGTGCTTTCCTATAAGATGCCTAAGATACTCCTCAAACTCTTCATCAGGAGCCTGACAACCAAAATAAAGATGAAAAATGTTTGCGTAAGAGCTATATGTAAACAACTGTCTCCTCAAGCAGACTGTCTCATTAAACAGAACTATCAAATTATACTACAAAATTAATAAGAATTATAATGCAGATTAAAAGGAATGAGGACTTTCAACACTACCATAAATCAGTAGTGTGAAATTTTTGCACAATATACAGTTATGCTAGGCCATAACCTCCCTACAAGTTATGATCGCAGATCACAGAGGTGCAAATTGAATCTACAACACTTAAAAAAGATTGAAATTCTAAATGATTTTACAAAATATAGATTTACCAAACTACATCAAATCCATTTCTCAACCTAATGATGAAATATAAGTTGATCTCTGACTAACCACTATGAGCATGTGGTGAAGAAATGAAAGCATGCAGAAGCAGACGAGTAATTGAACATGGTTGATTCATTTAAGTCGCCAGTTTTTTCGGAGATCAGATTAAAGAAGAGCATAGTTCTTGAAAACCTATAAGCTGAATAAGAAGAAAAAATATTTTTGTTGAACTGTATAAATTGAAATGTTAACTGGTAGGATATGTACCAATTTAACTGGGAAAAGCTCATTGTGGCATCTTAATGACCAAACAAATGCATTGGTCCATTTTGAAGAACAAGCTAAGGAGGATTGCTACTCTGGGAAGTTAAGTACACCCCAGTCTAAATACAAATAAAAATGAGAAATGACATGCAGTGACCTGGAGATGAACAGGACTCAATCGATGAACGAAGCTTTAGATGATCAGCAAGATCAACAGCCTAGTTTAAGGCAGATCAACACAACAGATCAAGCAGGGCAAATTATTTTGCTGCAAAAAAAATACTGGTGAGAGAATAGGCAACCTCCCACAAAAAAGCATCAGAGCTTAAAATTTCCAGTTTTGGCATGCATTGGCACTGAAAGTTATTTTCTACAGCCAATTCCTCTGTAAAAGTATTGCCCAAAATTTGTGAGTACAACACAACGCTTAAGAAGACTATAGCAGAGACCCAGTGATATACAGATGGCTCTCTAAGGAGCATGAATCAAAATCATTGTTCGGCAGTGATACCAACCATCAATACTACTGGTAGAATATTGGTATGGGTGGTATATTGACACTTGATTTCAGAAGATGACCAGAGAGACTATAAAGTGGAGGGAGAGGAGGCAGCAGAGGAATAAGAAGCAAAGGTGCAGGAGAAAGAAGTGGCGGCAACACAAAAGGGAGGGGGAGATGGTGATGACAAGGCAGCAATGAAGAGGCAGGCGTGATAGCCACATGGCAGTGAGGAGGAGATGATGGCGGTTAGGCAGCAGCAGGGAGGTGGGAACGACAATGTGACAACGAAGAAGAGAAGATGGCAGCAAGGCAGCAGAGAGGAGGTGGTGATGGCGACAAGGCAGCAAGGAGGTGACGGCAATGGTGATGCAACAAGAAAGAGATGGAGGGAAGAGGGACGAGAGAGACTAGAAGAAAGAAGAAAGAGATAAGAGAAAAAGGGACAATTGTGATAGCTATCAGAAACTTAAAAAAAGGATAACACAGTATGGATAAATGGATAATATATTAATCCTTGCTGAGAAGTGGCCAAACTTGACCTCGTATTAGCCAATGCATGAGTTTTGAGAGTAACTGAAACTCTGGAATCACAGATAATGAGATGGAATACTGATTTGACATGGTATGGACATGCCATGATGGGAAACCTAAAAGAAATAGGACAAGATGCAGCTTTAATATAGCAAACTAAAAGATACCCTTTACATTTGGTGTATTATATGTCAAGCATCATACATGTTCAGGTTAACAACGAATGTGATGTGATCATGACATAGTAACGACTATGAGCTCCACTGACATTAATTAAGAAAGAGTTCTTATTCAACAACATGCTACTACTAAGTATAAAAAAGTGAAACGAAAAGTTTATCATGAAAGAAGACTCATTATTATTCTAATGTCCTCAATGGAAAAATAGCAACTTCAAATTCAAATATCCATCTCCACCATTAAAATTCAGCAGAGTATATAACAAAAGTACTCCCTGTACTATAGTGCTGATTTCAAATTGGTTTATACACTTCAATTTGTCTCAATCAAGTCCCAAAATTTTATTGGTCATTGTAAATTGTCTCAGTTTTCATTAAGGATTCTTGATGGAAGGCTAATGTGTAGGCCTAGTTTGCCCGAAAAAGCAGGAAAATTCTAACCAAAGATCTTCTTACTTTGTCTAGGATTTTTTTTTATACACTATCCTCTCCGTTATCATGATTACTTCTCCTCTTTTCATGTTTTCCTCCTTCCCACTTCCTAGAAATTGACATGAAATGTTTTGATTTGACTGATCCATAGTTTATGTTTCGGACACAGATGACTGCACTACAGATCAGCACTTCACCAATTCCTCTTGACAGAAACTAATGGTAGGACTTGATTGCAATCAATATTTAAGTTTAGGGACTCAATTGAAACACCTTGAAGTTTGGGCACTAATTTAAAATTGGACCTATCATTCAGGAATTATCTGTGTAATTTACCCAAGACACATAAACAATGTCCTTACAAGATGAATCTAAGAAGAATTACCAAGAACCCCAAAACTATCCAATTTTTGAATAATTATTTGGAATATCTGATACTTCCTCAAGTAAAACAAATATATGACGAATATCGGTACTAAAACATGTTAAAAAAGTATGACAAGCATTTTTTAAGTAACGATTATTTGTAATTGAAAACTAATCAACTGCAGCAGATCACAATCTGTTATCTCTAGCAAGTATTTAAATATAGAACCACCAAAAGCATTTATCTTCTATTTCCACCTTCCAATCCTTTTTATCTATAATTCTCCTTATCCTATAAATGCCACAGCTAATTATAAAACTCTACAACATGGTGATGGAGAAAAGTATAAAGATAGTAGTACAATTTTGTTGAAGCAATGCACCATAATTTTCACATATTCCATTCAGCAAGCTGCAAATTTTATCATAATAAAAGGGTAAATGATGTGTCAATAGTATTGGCATCCAATTAATTAGATAAAACTCTATTCTGTTTGTGAAAGAGAACAAATAAAGTACTGCGATGGCAGGACTTTTCAAAAGGCAGTGCAACACTATATAGTTTAAGTTTAGACTACACAATATTGGTTCACAGACAAATTCCCATCAACTGACCAGCCGAACTCCAAAAGCTTTTGCAACACCTGCTAATGAAACATCAGACTGCATAGGGCCAAATCCTCCAAACAAGAACACCTGCAAAAACAAGTTCAATGATCAATTCTACATAGACTTGGTGCTGAAAAAAAAACCTAGGAAAATTAATTATTAAGAGAGCTGAAGGTCACTGAAACAAACCAGGTCGTTTGTAAACTTCCGTCGTTCAACTTCTTCAGCCACAGAATCAATCTGCATCAACAGAAATACCAAAATTGCCTCTTATAAAATGATTTTTATGCCAACATTCAAAAAAAAGAATAAAAGAGAGGAACCACTTCAATATTTGTCATGGGATTATTTATCTGACCTAAAACTATTCCAAACTGCTTTTTTTTTAATAAAATCGTGCGTAAAAACAGCAGACAACATTTGTTACTCGGATGACCAAATAATTGAGAAGTTGAACATTTACAAGAGCTAGGAAGAGAATCATGTTGTCTACATAATTTTGAAATTGAGACATACAGCATGAATTTATGAGAGTTAACAAATATCGTAATAGATAAGTTGCCTCACTTCATTCTGGACAACTGCCACATGAGTTACTTGCCAACCAATGCCATAGAGCTTTTTGCACAATGCTGCACTTAGTTTGTCCTCAGCAGTGCCAAACCTAAAAACAAATGTGCACCAACATAGTATCTCTTTAATATATAGAACAGAACTGCCAAAAGGTTCACTTCAGATGATTATATGCTAAATGTTGTAGAAAAATAAACAAGTAAAACATAATTATATATGAAAACGATTATGTTTGGATATGTAGGTGCAAAAAAGTGTTCAGGTCTTGCCCTACACCAACAACTCTCCATTACCACCCTAGCCCTCTCTACATCACAATCTTCCAAATTCATCAGTTGATCTAACACCTATCCTTGATACAACCCGTCTAACCTACCCATTTGCTAACAATGTATCACAGTCTTTCATTCTTTTTCCTCTTTTCATACCATCAGTTCCCACTGGATGCTGCCAAAATCCACAACAAAACACCAGTTCAAGACAAAGAGCACTACATTGACTTCTACATGTCAAGCAATGAGATTATTGTAAGGAAGCAACATCCACCCACAATAAATTGATTATGGGCCACATAGGTAAACAAATAGGGTATTGGTTAAGCACTTAGTAGAGTTAAATGAATTTGAGTCAGTTCAGTTTGTAAATTATCTGTCCCTGAGTAAGTGAAGAAAAACTTAGTTCATGGTAGTCTCTATTTTAAGGATCAAGCAACTATTGAGATCATAACTTGATTGATAAGGTTATCCAATTTACAGAGTTCTAGAAAATCAGCCATCCTCAAGATATAAACATGATTTTCACAAAAATTTAATTAAGAAAGAATAACTGATGGCCTCCCTTACTCTGGTTCTCCTGTGTCTATTTTCCTTCACCATATAATGATATGGATCTGCATGTATATGGGCCATGGAAGAGTGATGTTAAATGTAGCTTACAGAATCAAGGTAGATAACTAGAAACGCTTCAGGCTAGAGACAACAGATAAATTCCATAGGGCATTTTATAACACCCCATTCTTTGATCCTAACAATAAACAAATATCCCCAGCATCTGCGAGCAATGTCAGTGAGTGATGAACATAAAAACATAAAAACCACTACGGGAAAAGGAAGGCAATTGTAATTTTCATGTCATCTCTATCAACTATCTTCTGTTTGAGCTACAGTTCAAGCAAACTTTAGCATCAAAAACAGTGGTATAAGCCCCACGATACTTGAGTTTTGGCTTCATAAACAGCTTAAAATATTTAGGTTGTGCTCTAAGTCAAAAGGAGGGACAATCTCTATCATCCTTAGCTTGTGCTACATTCAAGTTGCAAAATTCTGCTGATTCTTACTTTGAATATTCATACAATACCAGTCATCCATCTCAACATCCTCAACTACGTTAATTTTCTGAATGTATTGTTTTCTAACAGTTCAAAATCTATTGTCTTATTGGTCTCCTGCAAGATTTTAAAAGGGCATCTTGTGGATACAAAGAACATGAAAAATATGTCTCCAAATCAGGAAAAACTTCACAATTTGCTTGAGGACATTTTCATAAATAATGTGAAGAAGTTGTTCCACTTGCAGGGAATTCTGAAGGGCATTGTCACTAGAGGAAAGTAATAATTACTAAGTTAAGATAACTCAAAGGGTCAAACTCAGTCAAGCAAAAGATGATTTTGATTGTCATAAAAAACATCAATAATTTGGGAAAGCATGGTGTAATAAAAGGACTTGTACAGAAAAATATCCAAAATATCTACTAGATTCTTTTTTTCAGAAAATCAGCAGTATTTGAAAACCTTTTAGTATGATAAACGTGAGATGACTTACAGAATCTCATCACCTACAACAACAATTGATGCCGTGAAGAAACCACTTGACGTAACACTGATCACACCATTATTCGGAGAAGTACTATTACATTTCAGATGCATCTTCTTTGTTCTCCCAGCCCTTTCTAGCCTTCCATCCGAAAGCATATATGCAGGTTTAAAAGTCCCTTCAGCATTTAAAGAATCAGCAATGCTCAACAATGCATTCGGAACTGTGTCATATATGCTCCCAATGGAAGTATATCTAAACAAAAGTAATATTGTGTGTCAGTATGATAACAGAGTTAATCAAATGATAGAAAAAGATCAGACAAAGCAATGCTGCTATCATGCTAAGTCATTGTTAATCTATTGAGCAAAAGTAGAACTGCAGATGCCAAATCTGATCATAGTTAATTACCTGGAGTGTGGAATGTTCTAGCTCATGGCAAAAAAATGCAAGTATGGAGTATGCCACTTAGCTTGCCTTGTGAAACATGGGTTAAACTAGCTGATTAATTATTTTGCATAATGGCATAACTTAAAGCACAACTTTTACTTAGTACATTAGATAAGATATTTTTTACTTAAGACAAACAAATTGGTAGGAAAGACCTGAAACCTCTGAATTCTGAAATTACTGTTTATGTATTGTTTGAAAGATCAATCTATAAAACCAAAGGACGTCAAGAAGATTGGATTCTTAGTTTCAGCAAACAATCCAGTATTCCAATGACCATGAAACTGATCTTTCTGAAGATCACAAACCACTACATGTTGTCCAGACTCCAGACCATTCAAATAAGTGGGAAATTATAATTTAGAATTTATTAGTGACATATATATGTTGTGGAAGGTGATTACAAAAAGATGTTCAAAGCCTGTTTGCTAAAACCTTGAGAAATATGGCAAAAATATGAGCATAATCATTTGCATCAAAAGATGAGATGGCAGACAATGTTATTGATCTTGAGAAGCCGAGGAACAAGTCACATTAGACAAAAAGAAGGTTACAATATGTCAAAGGAACATGCACCAGAAAAAGAAAAAGAAAAGGATTACACAACATCAATGAGTTGGAGCTTTAATGGAACTCATGTACAGGACTATGAATGGGGAAAAAAAATCTGTAGATTTATAACATAATGATACAATGCCAGAAAGCAAATGACAATATCAAACAATTTGCAGCTTACCCTTGATCATAAAGACTGCAGTACTGAACTTTGCAGGTTAAGATGAAGGCCCACACATCTCTGCCAGCGGCATATATAAAAAAAAGGAAAATTAAATGGTGTTTTTACTACTTCTTTGATATCAATTAGAAATGCCTTCAAAATTCAAATTACAGAAATAACTGGTTTAACTCAAGAAGAACCTGTAAGACCAGTCCAAGATAGGATTCACCCTCATAAAAGGGGGCCATCCAATTGAACTAGGGGAGAACTGCTCTTGACCAACCTGTGGGTACAAATTACTAACTTAGAATGATTATAAGTCTCATCTGCATTGTGGATTGATAGAATCATGGTAGTAAATATAAATCATGGTTTATTTGACATTATTATGGAAAGATATACCGCATTAGGATCACCAATTCTGGTTCCAAGGAAAATAGCTTTGGTAGGTTTTTCCTTCAGCAGAGCCTCTAAGCCAGACTTAAAATCTGAGTGAATAGTTTCCAGTTGCAAACCATAACTATGCAAAGAAAAGAATGGCAAAAATCATAACTGAAGTTACAGTCTTGGACAAAAGTCATGCTTAAAAAAATTGTCACCTTAAAACAGTAAAACAATATGTTACATAACAAAAATCAAGGCAAGGAACAGCATGCTTACACAGTGGCAGTTTCATAAGTAAATGAATTAATCTCAGGGAAAGCACAAGGGCTCTCAAAATAGATGGTCCGAATAGGACAGTTTAGCACACTATCTGACAGGCTCCCATTTGAACATTCAGGTTTCCCTTTATGCAAATAATAGCCAGCTCGCAATAAATGCAGCAAAACCTGCAACAGAAATACAATTGGGACCAGTGCTAAAATATATTTTAGACATAACAAAGATGTGTGTGAAAATATTTACAGTGGAGTCCTTTCCCCCATTAAAGCTGAAAGCTACCTGCTCAAACCTGTTAAGATGCAATTTTTAAGCAATTGTCAGTGCACTTGGATTTCTCTCTAAGTTGTACAACTGGCATAATTGTTTAGAAACATGCTTCAGATCTCTCTTTCAAATTTAAAGATAAAGAAGGTGGCTCACCAAATCCTTTCTATATCTAAAGATATGGAAGGTGTTTTCTCTCTCTAGCAACTTCACTGTCTGACATTTATCCATGGATAGTCATTTCATCAAATTTTCTGGAAGTTTTTAATTAGGTATGGTTCTATGTTTCTATTCATTGGTTCAAATAACATTGATCTAAAGTACTTTAAGCTACTTCCAAGCAAAATAAACAATCTTCTGTCACAAAGTGACGCAAGTCTTCTCAACCCCTTCATAGTCAAATTACGAAAGGAGAGGGATGGTCTTGCTATCTCACAAAGTCCTCACGGAAATAGATTTAGGTTCCTTGTTTTACTATTTTTGGTTTTATTTTCCTAGTTAGCTTAGGTTAATATTTCAGGGAGTGTCTAAACACCAATTATGAGTTTATTTGGTGTTGAAGAGTCCTGCTATGATCAAAGTACATGTTAGGCAAGCTGTTTAGTTATTAGTACGACTGAAGTACAGTTTAGTCAAGTGTTTTAGCTATCCATAGCCGTATTGGAGAGCTTTGGAGAACTCTTTAATGGGTTTTCGGTGAGTCACAAGATTGTAAAAAACAAAAAACTTTCTCCTGCAATACCTTTAAGTAGTTTATAAATACCATATTATAGAGTAGTTGTAAGCCCTTGGGAAATGGTTAACTAGTTATGTTCTTTACATAAAACTACATTATATCAGTTGTAAGATTTCTTTTTTTGTGCTCTCATTCATCCCTGAAGGGCATTTTCTTCTCATCAAACTGAAAAAGGCCCCGATAAGTGGGTCATATCTTGTCATTTAAGTATTAAAGCAAGTGATGATTTTCCAGCATATTCCATGTTCTTCTACAATGACATCTCCACAGCCAAGATAGCTATAATTAATACCATCATCAACAAGATGGATGAAAAATTTGGAAATGTTATAGACAACATGTTTTCGACTTTAATTAAAGAATTCATTGTAAAACTTGTGGCCATGATTAATAAGACAAGAAGGCTGCTCTAATACAACAAGATGTGGTGGAATTTTAACACCTACAATAATACATTATTCTCAGTGTAGCATGAAGGTTGCAGAGCCCACATATCAGTCCAGATAACTCACATAAGCATACTGAAAAGTTCAGCCTATAGGAATCACACAGCCAATTTCGTATTAGCAGTCGCTCATCCTTTTCCAAGCCATCCCGTAATCAACTACTGAAATGTCCTCATCAACTCTGCTTGCCTAATTTGACCATTAAATCAATTACCTTCGCACTGACATTTGACAATCAAGAGAAACAAAATCCCACGAAACAAGTTCAGGTGACTGATCTATTTTTTAGGAAACAGTGCTTGAATTCTAAAGATCGACAGGGCAGGATTCATCTTTTATGATGACATCATCCCTCAGCATGTGAAGAAGAAAAAGAAGATGAGAAAGATGATTTAATCTAGTGACATGGTCCGACCCTTCACCTTAATTGTAAGATAAATGTCAAGAGCAGAGAATTGCTATGGAGCAATTGGAGCTGACTTGCACTGGTCATAAGAGTATCTATTGTGCACGTCTTAATATGGTTTCAGTATCAGTTGAGAAATTTGTGTAGTTATCAGGAGTTGTATTGAAGAGTTCAAAAGGTTTGTTTTGGTGGGTTTTTGAGGAGCGACGAGATTACCACAAAAAAGAAAGCATTCCTTGTTAAGGCCTCTTAGTAGGAGGTATTGTGCATATATGAATGGTTGAGCACATATCTTCTTTATGCAACAACAGCAAGCCGTAATGCCCCAACAACAATTTAGGGCCAGCTAAAGGGCGCAAGCAGGCTCCCGCCAATGTAGGGGTCAATGTACGAACTCGTATCATATCTAAATGTCCTTTATGCAATAGAATATTTACTTTTAACTTGTTGAATCTTGTTTCCTACTCACCAATTCATCGGTAGGAGGCCATGACAGTAACCTTGCACTCATCCAGAATCAAGACCACAACAAGAAATAGAACTTCTCCGACAGAAACCGAACATCGAGTCGAGGAAAAACCTAGGTTCGCAATGCTTCAGAGGAATCAATCACGGAATTGGGAGAAGAAATGAACCACATCAAAAACTCACAGAAAACCCCCACCAAAGAACGTCCGAACGCAAATCCCACCCGACGAAAAAAGCAACGAAGAAGAAGCCGAGAGGGGGGGGGGGGGGAGGCACGAATCTCACTCGTAGAGAGCGAAAGCCCTCTGGATCACATAGACGGCGTTCCGGTACTTGGTCTGCAGCCTCCGATCGCTGCCCTCCCTCACGGCGCGATCGATCTCCATAGCGATGCGACGAAGGAAGAGGCTGTTTCTTCTGGACCAGGGAATGGGCTCTACGGATACGATCCCACGAGTTTGGCGCCTAGTAGTGTCCAAGGAAGTTGGGCTAGAGAGAGAGGGCTAGTGGTTGAGTGGTCTGCGCTCGCTTGCGTACCTGAGGGGTTGCCGCCGAGCGAGAGAGGAAGATTCCTCGATCCACTGCCATTTCCCCGAGCATATGCCGAGACGACCAAGATGTGACACTAATAACATGCCTTCCCACAAAAGCCAGAAAACCTTAATAATAATTGTAATAATAATAATAATAATAATAATATATATATATATATATATATATATATATATAATGAGTTAAATTAGTTTGTAAAATGTGATTTCACGGTGTCAAATCTATTGTGCTGGTGATTTGGTGGTGCAGGAGAATGATGAACCTTGCAATTTGTGGATGGCCCAGGCCAGGCCAGGCCAGGCCCATTTATCAATACATGTATACAAACATAATACATGTATTGATACATGTAAAATCATCCTTCACATCAATACATGTATATAAACATAATGATCCCTTAATCATACTTACTATAAAAGCCCCTTGTTATATTCCAAACAATTATTTTCGACACTGATAAATAGACAAACATAAAATAAAACCTTAATTGATTTTTAATCGACATCCCAATCAAGTTATCCCAATCAAGATATATATATATATATATCATCGTCATCAGCAACATCTATAACTTATTTTTTTATGCTTATAGCACAGAAAAAAAATCATGAGACACTCACTAATTAACTGTATCCGTCGTCGCATAGGTGGGTGGGGTTTGTAGTAATCATGAACATGCTTTTGGTATCAGCAAGAGATTGAACTTTGACAAGGAGGCATTGGTTTAGCAGAAAGATGAGATTGTTGGATGGATCCCATGGACGGATGACTAATAATTGGGAACTAAGCATCATTGCATCTGAGGGCATTAGTACTCGACAAGGTTCCATAGTGGTAATCATATTATTAAATTATTTATCGATATCATTAAAATAATAATATATCGGTAGATGAGATATGATTCATTAATTTATATTATTAGTTCATGGGTGACAGCCTATATATATATATATATATATATAAGAATAAAAATTATTAAATGAGATATATATGGTTTATATTTAACCATGTTATCAATAAAGCACCAAGTAGGACATGATTACACGGAGACTACATGACATGGTGTCGATGAAAATAGGTCTCACAAGATTATAATATGTAATATTGACGATGAAGTTAATTTAATAAAATTATTTTTTCGAATCCGGTTAGGGAAAAATATTATTGATGTCCTTGTTAATACGATGTGACCCTGATCCATGTGCGTGGAGCTGTCTGAGATGGAAAATACCTTCTCTCGAGTTGTCACTTGAACAAATACCAAAATCGAGATATGCTTCCCGAGCCGATCCCTTCGACGCTCAAGTTAATCCTAAGGTTTATTTCTTTAGGTCTAAGTTCCTATATAAAGTTGAAGGTATATTTTTATACTTGAAGATATAGAATATTCCATAATGATTTCGTATGGGAGGTGATTTATAACCGACTCAAGCTGCCCCTTGAGCTCCTAGTAATATTCCTATGAATATTATGTATGAGAGGCAATTTGTAATTGACTTGAATTGCCCTAGACTTATGAGAATATTCTTATGAATATTCTATAGAGGAAGTAGTTAGTAATCGACCCGAGTTACCTTTTGTACTCCTATCCACGCGGGTAAGAGGGTGTTGGGTCGTTTGGGTCATTTCTCCCATGGGCCCTACATGGGAATTGCATGGCGAGCAAGGGTTGATAGACTATATATTCCCTACAGTTATGGTTGTAATCATGATGGAAATGATAATACTTAGATTCGTTTCTTTTCTTCGGTGGAGTCTGCATCAATTGAGGATCTTTCAATAAGCCTTTTTTGTTTTATCTGTAAAAAAACTTCAATCCTAGTTAGGTTCAAGGGGATTAATTTGGACCTTAGGCGATGAAGGTCGGGTCGTTCACTTCTCCACCATGGTGATCTTGGGGTGGGAGCGGATTTGTAGTTGCTCTTGCCTAGGTCTCTTGTGAGGTTATTCATGTTTATGCGAGATCATTAAATCAATGACAATAAACTAATTGACCGTTTATATAACCTTGGAGACTGTCGTCGATGTCCTTTTTGCTAACGACCAAGAGAGGCGGGAGGGCTTTGGTCCCATCATAAAGGACTGAAACACAAGCGATGAATGAGCATTATCCACGTCTCAGATCTCGTTAGTGAATCGAGTGACGAAGTCTGAGAGTATCTCCTCCTCACATTGTTTGAGCTTGAGAAGCATCACTGCTAACAACCTCGAGCACACATTCCTAAAAAAGTTGAGCTCAAACCCTCTTATGAAATAAACAAAGGAACTAATGAATAGTGACTTCAGATGAGCATACGACTCTTTTGTTGAGCCTCTTAAGGTGGTCGAAAAGGCACAATACATTAGGGTATCCAAAGTGTCATATAGTGACATTTGAGTCCGGAAGACAATGTTGTGCTCCACTGGATCAATAGTGTCATCAAAATCTTCCAATGATAGAAGACAAAAGTTTATTGGGATCGACTCCTCCTGGATAAATGGTGACCGACCCAATGTGGGGTCGACCTACCCCTCACCATTAGATTACTAAAAGTTTTCATGCATCTCTTTCAAGCGTTGGTCCATTTACTACAGTTGGATCCTTAGAGAGTCTCTATCGAATGGGTCGAGTAACTCTAGGTTTAAGTAAAGTGAGTAGTAGTGGGATAGTTCACTGAACTCCACGGTTGAGGAGCAAGATGCTCCCTCGGCCAATGGTTTGGTGGGTCTTAGATGCCCCTAAGATGCTAGCAACTTGTTGGGTGGAGGGACGCTAGCGAGCATCGATGCCAGTGATTGTTGAGTTGTTGGGCTAGCCAGGGTAGAATTGAAAAAATGGCATGCATCATGTCACTTATTGGGTTAGGTTCAAGAATGCCTCGATACAGATGAATAAATGATCCAGTGACACTCTTGGGTCATCAAACAAATGTCAATACTACATTGGTATTTATGCCAAGGTGGATGTGTCCATGTGGGGAAAGGGTGGTTGCTCTCTTTTTTGAGCAAAGTGCTATCGGTCAGGGGTAGAGTCTCACTCGAGCGTTCATTGAGAAGGTAAGCTTACGGATTGAGATGATGATATTGTCTGTTGGGCTAGCCAGGGTAGAATTGAAAAAATGACATGCATCATGTCACTTATTGGGTTAGGTTCAAGAATGCCTCGATACAGATGAATAAATGGTCCAGTGGCACTCTTGGGTC